ACACAACGGGCTAAAGCTAAGCCGCCGTGCTTGGGATTCCGGTTCCTTAGATTTGGGTTTCTTTCCAATCCCGTAAACAGTTCCGGGCTCGGAATCCCACTGGGGGTCGCTATGAGTCAGCGTTGACACCATGGCAGCGAGAGAGAATTCGATTCAGAGCGGGGAGGAGCGGCCTCCAGCCTTTCTTCCTGGTCCCAGGCTGTAAAATTGCCCTTGCGCCACACCAGAAAGTTCATTTTCTTAGAACACCGAAAAGGCAGTGTCTTCATTTCTCATTCATTCCTTCTGAGTGCCAGGGCGCCCTGGGAACAGGGTGATGAGGGTGGATGATGCTCCGTTGCTCGCAAGGGACTGTCAGTCTGACCACCTTAAGGGAGGAGCGAGGTAGGAGGAAACCTCCATCGGTGAGAGAGCCCCAGTGGGTTTCTGTGGAATATAGTCATGGACAATGGACAGACCATATATGACAGCACAGCTCGAATACAGAAGCCTGGGAGCCAACTGCAACCTCTGTGACAGTCGGAGCACAGCAGCCTGGACTTGGATCAGCGTCGGGCCCCGCCTTTCTTGTTTGCCCCCTCCACTTCCAACACTTCCAACTCAGGACCAGCGAGGAAAAGCCAAATACCGCAATGCTGCTCCTTCAAGCCACCCACGAGTCCCCTCCACCGCCTGTCTCTTCCTGTCAGAGAAAGCCCGCTGTCTTTTCCTCTCTTTCTTTGCTTTGCTTACAAAGCTTCACTGCTTCCCTCCCTGCTTTTGAACCTCTGCCAAAACAAGCGATAATGGCTGACTACCCTGCTGGAGCAGCGCAGCATCGATACCACCCTCTGTTCTCATTTGGGTGGGCTTCATTCCATTCTACAAGCCAGACCATCTCTGGGGTCATCCGGGAAACTTGTTCTGCAGCACTCCCCATCCCCCGCCACCCCCATTACTGAATTAGACTATCTGGGGGTGTGGTGGGGCCGTTAGGCAGAGACAAAGAGCTCTAGTGGCTTACCCACATTGAACTGATAACGACAAGGTCAGTGATTTGAGCCCTTCAGCCCACCAGCCACTCTCCCTGGGAGAAAGATGAAGCTCTCTGCTCAGATGGATTCTCACCCCTCTACCCTTTAGGGTTGCCCTGGTAGCATACTGAGTTAGGTGTTGGGATGCCAACAGAAAAAGCAGTTTAAAACAGGAGACAGCGAACAGTGTAAGATATGAAAATAATAATCACTTATAATTTACCAAGGGTTCATGGGGGTGGGGGGTGGGGTCAGGGGCAACAGGAGCTGATGCCAAGGGCTCAAGTAGAAAGAAAATGTTCTGAAAATGATGGCAACATATGTACAAACGTGCTTGATACAATTGATGTATGGATTGTGGTAAGGGCCCCCAATAAAATGATTTATTTTTTTAAAAAACAACAAAAACCTGCCACTCCTCAGGAGAAAGATGAGGCTTTCTTGTTCCCTGAAGCATTGCAGTCTCAGAAACCCACAGGGCTAGTTCTACTCTGTCCTGTAGGGTCGCTATGAGTCAGAATGGACGCAATGGCAGTTGAGGTGGCTTCAAATGTACATTTACCAGGTGAGTCTTAGTGGTGTACTGGTTATGAATTGACCTGCTAACCACAAGCTTACCAGTTCAAAACCACCCCGAGGTAGAAAGATGAGGAGGCTTTCTGATCACACAGCGAGTTATAGTCTCAGACACCCACAGGGACAATTCTTTCCTGGCCTGCAGGCTCCGCATGCATCAGAATCTGCTCAATGACAGTTGGGTTGGGTTGTTGGACCCTTCGAAAATGGAAGGAACAATGCTGTTGGACTTAACGGTTCAGTGGAGAACGGCAGACAAGTACACAAGTCAGTGCTAGTTAAAGTTCATCCCGTGCCTCTTATCTAACATGCAGCCTTGAGCAAGTTGTTACACTTCTCTGAGCCTTCGTTTGCTGATCTGTAAAACACAAACAGCAGCAATGCTTTTTTTTCACCCACTCATAAGGTTATTGTTCAAATAAAGTGGAATTCTGCCTGTGGAAGTACATATGATGTATAAAGATGTTAGCTATTCTAATAAGGGCTATTTACACTTAACTCTCCATCACAAACTCAGGAAATCATTTCTTCAAAAATTATGAACTTTATAGTTAATTGCAACCATAAGCTGTTTGTCCACAAAGAATCTCTTTTTCTTACTCACTTATTCACTGCCATCCATCGGGTCCAACTTAGATCGACCCTATATGGCAGAGTAGAACTGCCCCTTGCGGGTTTCCAAGGTAGTGCTGCTATTGTTGATGTCACCATTCAAAGGCACAATTATGACAGATTGACACTCTTTCTTGTTTGCCACCACAGTGTGGTGTGAATGTGGCTCAGTCTGTGGCTCTAGTTCAAGGTTGATGTGTAGAAAGGCTCCACTCCACAAAGGAGGGGCTTCTAGAAGCAGAAATCACTCAAACTCACTGCCATTGAGTCAAGCCTACTCATCGCCACCCGATAAAGACAGATGATAAATGGTTCTCAGATAATAGAACACATGACATTGTCACGTGTGCTGTTATTTCACATTGCTGCGTGAACCTATTCAAGTTTTTTGGTTGTGAATTATTGACTGCATTTGTCTTTATCAGTGTCCTAAACTGCTTCTGTTTATCCAAAGACGAGCAGGTCCTGAGAGGTATTGGCGGAAGCAGGTTCCCTTTAACACACCCTTATCAACGAGACCTTTGCAGACTCTAATAGGTTGGATGCATTCAGAAACATAATTAGCATTTTTAAGTTCAATAAATTAATGACAATGTTCAAGAAAACAGATGGGCCATCTGTGAATTCAAGGCCTAGAGAAATAGAGAGCTGCCACCGGGATGAGACACAAACAGCTCTTGGCAGACTGAGCTTGGCAAGGAGTGCTGTGCCTGGCTGACAGCGCACTTGCCCTTTCATCGGACTCCAGGTTTCTAAAAATACAACTTCATTTATTATTTTTACTTATTACTCCATCTTTCCACCGCATATAACCACAGCACTAAATGTTAGCTATCTTCATAGTGATAGCTTTATCAATGTGTAGATGGCAGCTATATATAAGGAACTCTGAGTTTTAGTTTTTTTAATAAATCATTTATTGGGGGCTCTTACAGTCTTGTCACAATCCATATATCAATTGTATCAAGCACATTTGTACATACGTTGCTATCATTTCCAAATGAGCCCTTGGTATCAGCTCCTCTTTTTTCCCCTCCCCGCCCTCACCCTCCCACCCTGGCGGACCCTTGATCATTTATAAATTATTTTTATTTTCATATTTTACACGTCTGCTGTCTCCCATCACCCACATTTCTGTTGTTCGTCCCCCTAGGGGGAGGGGGTGTTGTACATTGGTCATTGCAATCGGTTCCCCTTCCCCCCCCTTTTCCCACCTTCCCCCTACCCTCATGGTATCTATACTATCATTTTTCCTGAGAGGTTTATCTGTCCTGGATATCTGGATTCTGTGTGTCGAGAGCTCTTATCTGTACCAATGTACATGCTCTGGGCTTGCCAGATTTCTAAGATAGAACAGGGGTCATGATTGTGGTGGGGAGGAAGCATTAAAGAACTACGCAGTGGTTCTCAACCTTCCCAATGCCACGACCCTTTAATACATTTCCTCATGTTGTGGTGACCCCCCAACCGTAAAATTATTTTCGTTGCTACTTCATAATCATAATTTTGCTACTGTTATGAATTGGGTGACTCCTGTGAAAGGGTCATTTGACCCCCAAGGGGGTCTCGACCCACAGGTTGAGAACCACTGTACTAGAGGACCCGTTGTGCTTCGTCAGTGCTATACTGCACTCTGGTTGGCTCTACCCTTCCTTGTGACCCTATGTGAGGGGATGTCCAATTGTCTACAGATGGGCTTTGGGTCTCCATTCCAACGCTCCTCGTTTGCATCAAAATGGCTGTTTGTTTTGTGTCTTCTGATGCCTGATACTGTTTGGGCCGGGTCTGGACCAAGGCAGCCCCTTGTACCAGCT